TCTAGAAGGGTGCGCCGCACACACGCGCACTTACAACCCCTAATCAATATTCGCACCCATTTCTGACCAACATTCTCGTCCCTTCAATGAGCCTGATTTCCATATATTAAACTGTCAAATTTCTGAAATTTAATATGTTGAAAAATTATTGAGTTAGCAGTGAAAAGGGTTATATTCAAATAGTAAGTGTTCAAATTATGTGCAAAAAACACAAAGAAGGATAAATATATCATACCACATTCCCCAATGTTTCAGACTAGATACTATATTTACATTCCACCCAGTTTTTAATTAGAAAGTGATTTCTGATATTTTTAAATAACTATTTAACTTTTGATCTGTATCCACATATCTGTTGCTTTTTTGTCTGAAATCAGACCTAAACCGGAAACAGTTTTAATGAATTTTATTATGTATAGAGTTGAGTTGCACCTTAGCATGATGCCACAATTTGTCATGAGATAAAACTATGACAAATGATTTAGTAGATGGGAAATTTGGGGAATCTATGCTCTATAAAGTTAGGGATGTCTATTTGTATGCTTAGTATTTTAAACAAATATAAAGAATGCTGTAAGTATGTTCATCATTTGTTCATCATAAACTTGCCAAAATAAAAATATTTAAACAGGCATTAATAAATTTTTTCTACATGCTACTTTACCCATTACTATTAATAACTATTTTTCAGTGTAGTGTTGATAAACTCTGAAGGTCAAATACAGACAATAAACAAAAAGATTAAATATACATATGTTAAGGTTGAGCGATAAGATGGACTTATCAAACGGAGACTATTATATCAGTAAATGTAGTTTTTAACAATGACTCAGTTTACTTGAATTTCAATTACTCATATAATTATTAATCTCCCATAGATCATGCATTCCATATTGCAGTAAATAATAATAAAGTAATAAAATTTGTTACAGAACATAATTTGAGAAATGCTGCATTTGTATATATATATATTTATATATATTGATGGGCTATTCTATTTGTCCAAAAATGAAATTTCATCAATTTTCGAAATGCTAGTACAACTCCAAAGAAACAATAGGGTATTGAAATAATACTTCTAACTGTTCATTTTAGTTAAATACTTAATAAAACAAATATTTTGTAAAATAAACATGTTTTCTTGGCTTAAAATTAAATCAAAATTTTAACTTTTTATAAACCTGCGGTAACGCTTACTGTCATATTCATGACCTCACTTTGATATGTACACAAAATGTATGCATTAAGTAGAAGATTAAAAAATGACAATAAAACAAGAATAATGCCATCTAACAATTGATTACAAAATAAAAATATATAAATAAGTTAAGAACAGCTCTATCAAGGAATTTGATTGATAATTAATAGGAATATCTTTATGACCAACCTGACAGTTGTCACCACAGTGACGTCACACAACGGCGGGACATGTTTGAAATCACGTGATACACAGATGAAAAATTATGACATTTAATTTTAATATATTAGTGCAATTTTAAAACTCAAAATCAGAATGTCTATGTTCAAAACTATGTAAATTTTAGCTTTTCTGCATTTTCATGACTTATTTTTCACTTCCGAAACTACCCAATTTCTGATAATTTATAATGGAATGGAGGTAGGACCTAGCACTGACTCTGATACACCAACAATCATCATGGATATGATGACAATAGAACAGGGCATCAAGTATCATGTTAATTCGTACAAAAAGTAAACATATTTATGTTCAAAAACTAAAAAGTACATGAACTCTAAAGAAATGTCTATTTGTATATAAATAATACACTGACTGGCAATGCACCCATGATTCACTTGCAATTCATTGATCTAAATTAAATATGAATTTGATTTACTTTCATTACCTACATAGTGAAAGGAATGAATGTTTCCCATGTTGTATGTCTACATGTACATAGGAAAAATTTCGAGACTTTATGAAAATTAATCATGTTTAGGCGCTTTCACGTATTAATAAATCTAGATATACCATAAATTTATTATTTATATTAATTTTTCCACATTCCTGTTCATGTTAAATATGGTTATTTCAATTAATTAGATAAAAGAATAATTTATTATAGAGCTTACCTTTGATAATCTCCATTATAGTGTCAAGAATTCTAAGAGCTCAATAAATTGCTTAATAAGTATTCCAAAAAACTTGTAAACTTTACTCATCAAGACTTACGATGAAAATTAGTAAGTTAAAAAACTTGTTTATAAAAATTGGCCTGTTCTAAAAAATACATTTATTGAACTATTTTAAAAATAACGTATTAAAATAATAACAAATCATCGTTTTTTCAGCACTGCGAAAAACAATCAGACCTCTTGACTATAAAATGAAATGTCATAGAATGACAGCACAGAATTAAATGACAGTGACAGTAAGTAATAGCAAAGGGCAATTAAGTTTAAGAAGAATTTAAGATAAAATAAGTCTATGTTAAAAATCAATATATTGTCAATTTTGGTTTGATATCAAGTTAATTTGTTATTATTTTCAGAACTTTTGTAAAATATTATAATGAAAAATATCTAGACCTACTATGGCATAAATATTTTATTTATAAAAACTATTTCACGGTGATATTATTGTATACCGTAGCTAAATGTCACTTTCGAGCTGCGTTTGCGTAACTCATACTAATTTTAAAGTATTTAAAAAAAAATAAAGAATCTTCAAAAATTTATTTCATTAGATGGCAGCAAAATTGTAGGATCTAAATGTCAATTAGGAAGTATTTAAACATTAAAAATTAGTTCTTAAAATCATACTAGATGTCACTCGCGATGTTTGGATTTTGTTTATGATATTCATTCAAATTTTGTTTCTGACGTAATAAAAGTGAATTGAGTATCGAACATTAATAAATATAACATCGTTTTGTGTTCCTTATAATATCTAACTTTCAAATTAATTTTAAATTATTTTAATTGTAAGTTTAAGTTGTTTATTATGTTACGTGTAAAGGAACGATGTTTGATTGATACGTCAACATTAGTGATGAGTCAACTTATTGGTTGCTCGTAACTTTCATTCGAATTCAGGTTTGGAATGAAGAACAAAAAGCGGAGCGAAGAATTCAGCTCGTATTTGTATGTGTCATTATGCATACACAAAATGAATAATATTAATATAAATATCAAAATTAATCCAGTCTAGGCTGTTACATAGTACTTGTGAAAGTCGAAAACTTTGCCAATGGTTCGTAAAACTGAGGCGGGAGATCTTGTACTGACAAGAATCGGCAAGAAACTTAGCAAGGAGGTATTTTTTAATATCAACAATACAACTCAACTATACTATATTTGAGGGAACGTAACGACCTAACGCACACGACACCAATACAGAGATTTTAAGAGAGCATGACTACTCTAGGTACTTAGTAAATAATATATTTTATTAAAACTGAATTCTAGAGTAGGTTCTGTAGGAATTCAATCTATTATTAACAATATTATTGTAAAAACCAAAAAGCACATACACACCGTACGAATTAACTTAACACATGGCTCGACGTCTGCCGTCGACATTCAAGATCAGTAGCAATAGTATAATAACTGTACCTGTCTTTTTGATTTTGAAATTTAAAGTTATAACCTTTAAATTTCAAAATCACAAAGACACGTACAGTTCGTTCATAACCACAGAAATATATCTAGTTTCATAACAGACGTTTCTTGTTGATTGGTGAATGTTTATTAAGATTATTTAATTATGAATAAAATATTTAATAACTGATCACAGTTTTTTGAAGTCTTAATTTCAAAAGCACAAGTTATTTGCACGTTACACTTTGCACAAACGTCATTTTAGCCAGAAGTCATCTTATTTTGTACGAATACCTAGTTTATTTGATACATATCGGGTAAGTATAAGATGTTTTATTATAATTATCGTTTTTATGAGTTTTGTTGCTGATAAACCTTATGCATTCATTCACCATACATAATATAAAAATATTATTGAGACTTGATGTAGTTTTTTTGTTTTAAGTTGAACAAACAACTAATAGCAATAAAACTAACTTATCCAGTTGTTATTATTTTCAGAACTTTTGTTGTAATGAAAAATTCTAGACCTACTATGGCATAAGTATAAAAAATATTTCGCTGTAATATTATTATATACTGTAGCTAAATGTCACTTTTAATTATATCACAGCTTTAATTCAATTGATTTCCATTACTTAAAAAAAATCTCTATGCTCACGTCCATTATAATAAGTTCCATTTTCCTCTATACAAATAAAAAGTAAATTAATTTTAAGATTACTTTGTATTAATCGAGTTGCGTTTGCATAACTCGAACTAATTAAATTTCAACTTGATATTAATCCGAGTTATTAGATCCATAACAACACTGACCATTCTATTCTCTTTGGTCTACGTCATGAATTGACGTTTAGATCCAACAATTTGTGCTGCCATCTAGTGATATAAATTTTTATAGTTTCTTTATTTTTTTTAAATCCTTCCTCATTTCAACACGACATTTATCTGATTTATCCAGATCCATACAACACTGATAGTTCTATTCTCTTTGGTCTAACGTCATTAAAGAGGAAGTATTTAAAAAAAACGAAAGCACTAAAAATGTACCTTCACTAGATGGCGACTCTAGCAGAAGTTGATTTTTGCAGGAAACGAATGGACCAAAGACAGTCATTTCCGTTCCTTTTAACTAACATATTAAAAAACTGCCTTGCGATTCTGTAAAACTTCAAACCCGAATTCGAATCCACTCAGGTGTCCGAATTCACTTCAGAAAGTAGCATCCGCTCAAACTTGAATTGGTAATAATGTTTCGTGACATAAGTGAAGTGAGTTTCGAAATGATATAGGATTAATATATCTAAGACACGTTTAATAGATCAATTTTGTTCAGTATTTTTATACAAAAAATGGAATCAATAGGATTTCTATACTAAATGACGAGAATTCGGACACATGAGTGAATTCGAATTCGGGTTTGGATTTTTACAGAATCGCAGGGCTGAAATTTGAAAAGTTCGAAACTTAGATGTCATCAACCTATTATTATTCCTCTATGGATGTCATTACAAATACGAAAAGTACAAATAGAATATGAGATGTTTATTGAGTTTTAAAAACTAATTTACTTTTAAACATGAAAAAAAACCGGAAAAGTTATCATGGAGAAATCAAGAACGTACCGTAGCGATATCTAGTTTGATTTCTGGAATTATTTTTTTTGAAATACTCCCTATTGGCATTTAAATCCTACAATTTGTGCTGCCATCTAGTGACTAAAATTTTGTAGTTTCTTTATTTTTAGAGTATTATTGTTCTGTGAATGTAATTTGTGAAATAAAAATGTCCGTATTATTTACATCTAACACTTGTCTTTTAATTGATCACAACGAATTCATATCAAAGGTGTATAAAGATGTGTACAAAAAAGATAAAGTTTTTACATTTGAATTTACAAAAAAGTTATTTTCTATACAAATGGATAAGAACCTGTCAAATAAAAGAAAAAGGAAACATAATCATGATAAATTGTCCGAAGAGGTGTGTATTTTAACCATTTAACGTTTTTTTATGTTTAATAAACGGTTAGTTTCGTTTTACTATTATAATAAAACAATCAAAACATTGCTATAGAATATATTCTTGTTAAATTTCACAAGGGATATTTTATTTTTCAGGCGTTAAAATTAAAAACTCAATATGATGAATTCAAACAACAAATACCATGTTTTAGAAAAAAAAAACTATTTGAAGATTATGCTATAACAAAATCAAAACATGTCCGTGAGTTATCTCAAAAATTATTTGAAACTACAGTTTTTCCTTTTGTAGGTAAAAATGGTGGAAATAATAGTGACAAAGCCCTTTTATGTCATATTGAAGGTGATTATTTTTTTATGCCACCTAATTGCAGGTTTGTGGACAAATAGTATATTTTTTTAACATTGTATAAAATCAACGACGATCTATCAACGCACAGCCCAAACCACTGGACGGATTGGGTTGAAATTTGGCATGCAGGTAGATGTTATGACGTAGGCATCTGCTAAAAAAGGATTTTGATCAAATTTAACTCCCAAGCGGATTAAATAGGGAATGGCAGTTTGTATGAAACTTTGTCAATTTTAAACCAATCAGGCTGAGACTTTGCATGCATAAAGCAACTATGACGTAGGCATCCCATAACAAAGGATTTTGATCAATTCTATCCCCAAGGGGGTAAAATAGGGGATGATATTTTATATAAAACTTTGTCAATTTTAAACCGATCAGGCTGAGACTTTGCATGCATAAAGCTACTTTGACATAGGCATCCTCTAAGAAAGCATTTTGATAAATTCCACTGCTAAGTGGATAAAATAGGGGAGGAAACTTTATTTCAGGTATTTTACAGATTATAATGAATAAATATTTGTTAGAAATGCTGCTCAAAGTAACTTTACCATACGGACGATGTCGCGGGCAAAAGCTAGTGTACCTATATAATCAAGAATTCTATAACAAAGTAATTTTATCAGCTTTAGATGAAACAATTAACTTTACATTAACCATCTATAAGGAAGGCCTGGAGCCCTTGTAGTACAGATGTAAAAGAACAGATGATGATGATATGGCTTCACCCCCCTGTTCTTGTATTATACATAAAAACTTTATAACCACCCTCTCTATAAAAAAAAAAAATGCATCAAAATCTGTCGTGTAGTTTTAAAGATTTAAGCATACATAAGGGTATAGGGACAGAGAAAGCAACTTTATTTTATACTATGTAGTGATTTTTTATATATACAATTATAGTAGTAAAGAACAATAATAATTATCTTTAACTCCTCAGTGTCTTGGTCAGAACGCATGTTGGGTCAGTTGTTCTTGCAGCATCTGCAGTTGTTAATATTCGCCAACTTGCACTGAGAGTGTGTGGTATATAGACTGTTCTCTCTATTTGATTTGATTCAATTTAATCAAAAAGTGCCTGTGGTCCAGTGGGGACATTAGTTGATTTTGAAAAAAAAAAACAGCTTTATTTTAATATTACCATTGTATTTTAGATTTTACTGCAATTGTGTAAAAGATCAGTGTCTGAAGTTAAATACTAGATATGATATGGTCATAGCAGACCCTCCTTGGTGGAACAAATACATAAGAAGACTGAAAAGTGCCAATGAGAAATTAAGGTGAATGAAAATTTATTCGTTATAATTGGTGGTAAGCCAATTTTTCAAGTGGTGTGTGGTGTGACGTGGGTGTGACAAAAATCGGTCTGATCAGGTTACTGTATCTTGTATCCAAAATGTGATGAAAATTGCGAATACAATAGTTTGGCAAATCAATGCTTTGTTGTCTAATGTTAAACTTTGAATGATATGGCAAGTATCAAAACAGAATCAACAGCATATAATGATATTCTAAAGCAGATATTGATCATCCATTTCAAGCATCCAAATATGGTTTCAGTTTTAGATAGTTTCATGTGGTCATCTTATTTCATCTCAATATATCTGTATCAATAATGAAAATGTTTGAATTTTAAGAATCTTTTTATTACATTTTTGATTAAGAGGTTTTAGATATGTATTTATTTAATTTCCAGTTATTCCATGATGTACAATGATGATATTGCAAATTTGCCTATCAAGAATCTTCTGTCTGAAAACTGTTTAGTAGCTGTATGGTGTACAAATGCCTCGAGTTGTATTGAAGCTGTGAAACACTTGATTTTTCCCAGTTGGGGTGTAGAGTATGTTACCACTTGGTATTGGCTGAAAATCACTGTGGACTTAGAGCCCATATGTGTCTTCAATTCTGGATGTAACAAACAACCATATGAAAGACTTATGATTGGAAAAGTAGGACAAGTGAATAATGTTCCAGAAGAAAGAATAATAGTTAGCATTCCTAGTGCTTTACATTCCCATAAACCACCATTGTTAGGTAAGTAAAATAATGGTAGCAACACATTTATTTATTTAGAACTTACATAAGACATTCTTAATGAAAAATGCATAATAAGTCACTTTTTCCCTGTCATTCTGAGATTGATGAAATATAATAATTAGAACTAATTTTATCTTTAAATAAAGTTTAAATATTTTGTTCGGCTGTTTGGGTGGATTGTCTGAAAATTGTGTGGTAGCGAAAAAGTGCTTGAAAAATATTTGTCAGTCCTATTATGTCCTTGGTAGCTCAGTGGTTAGAGCACAGGGGCGTAGTTACCGCCGTTTCTGCCGTATCAATTATACGGGGCCCCCGGACTACAGGGGCCCCAACGTTCGTAAGCAAAAATTAATAAAAATTCCCATTTTTTTTTTTATTTCAGAAATTACAAAAGCCAAAAAGAGCAGTTCCTTTTTCCCCCGTAAAGCATGCGTTTCGAAGTTGGCAACACCCTATATCGGTTTCCGCGGGCTACATGATTTCTTCATTTAAGTCATTTACTTCAACAGGAGAATCCCACAATAATCGATGTTAAAATTTGTGCAGGTCATACAAACATTTCATTTCAAACATTTCATTACAACCCTTCATAAGTGCCCTCAAACAAATTTTTATACGGAGCCCCGCCAAAGCACACCACGCCACTGTTAGAGCAGTTAAAAATATCATACTTTTGTTTTATCATTGTCATGGGTTCAACTCCAACTTCAAACTGCCAGGGACAAAGTGGACTTTTTAACCATTTTTCATTAAGAATATATTTCAGTACAGCATTGTGAATGCAACATTGATCAAATATAATAATTATAAAACTTCTTGGTTTATTCCACTTTGAAGTTTTTAAGTTTTTTAATGTGTGTTTTCTCTATTAATCACCTGTTTTCTTGTACATTCGTTTAGTTTAAATACAGTCAGTATTATTATCAACAATTATTCTTGGCCTAAAAATTATCAGTGCAAAATTAAACAAGGTTTATGTTGAGACTGCTCTTAGTCAAAATTCATAGTATCAAACAGAGACTTAGCAAAGATAAATTGCATGCAATTTTAGCGTCAATTTACTTTGACGCTAAACCTTGTTTATTAATAGCACTGATAATTTATAGGCCAAGAATAATTGTTGATTGCTCTTATTAAAATGAAGATATCTTACTTTTGCTTTATCCTTGGTCTAATAAAAACAATAAACTGCACATAAGCAGTATATATTAAATTTTGTTTTAGATCTTCTAACGCCGTATGTGAATGCTGAAAAACCAGAGGTGTTGGAGTTGTTCGCAAGGTATCTCCTACCCAATACAACTAGTGTAGGATATGAACCTCTCAAGTGGCAGCATGAATCACTGTATGAAATGGTTGAAAATAAAAACTGTTGAAAATATATTACTTAAATTGTTTATATTGAATTATACGCATTACCAACCAAGTTCTGGAAAAGTCCAATTACCTTAAATGTCCAATCTTATATCATGATCGATTTGCTGAATACGCAGATGAATAGTTTGTAGCATTATAATGTGACTATTGAAGCGTCTGTGTTATCGTTTCAACGCGTTTTTGTCTGGTTACTTCATTATACCAACGAGAAGCATGTCCTTCTGTTATTCAAAATTATGACTGTTTTTGCGGGAAGTTATGAAAATGAAATTTATTTTTAGATTTTAACTCATTATATGAATGATAATTTTTTAAAACATTGTATTTATATAATCTATAAAATATCTATAAAATAAAAATATAAAAAAGTTGTTTACACCCCTATTCTTCATATGCCAAATCGAAATCCGTTAAGTAATTATTGCGACAAAAACCAACAAACATGTGCATACATACATCGTAGATTCACATAAACTCACTTTATTTATAATATTAGTAGGATTAGCCCTGTTCCGAGTATTCAAATACGTATGAAACCGAGTACCTACCCGCATCGCATTGCATTTAAAAATATGCTTCAAGGTAGTCGTTTAAAGTTTCTAGGTTTCCCGTCGAAAAGTTTAAATACTGGTATAATCCCCTCAAATTGGTAATGCGCCGGCCGCCATTTTGATGACGTAATTGCGTTAAAAATCAGTATCCTTAAGAAATAAACACTGTTTGACGAGTACACTTATTGAGTTAGATTGTATTGAGATCACACATCATTTTTGTTATGTTTTTGTTGGTTTCGATTGTTATTATTAAGTTTCGTTGTAACGGTTGATTAAATAGCAACTGGGATGATATTCACAATAAGTAAATATAATTTCACTAATAACAAATATATCTTTATTATTACTTTTGATTATGTTTTAAGAAATATGTCCTTTCCGTTGTTTATCGTGTTATACAAAGAAAATGTATTTTTTCCGTATATCTTAATATTTACATATAAATTGTTTTTTTTTCCAAAATGCATGGAATAAATCAACAAACTAAAAGTTATAATAAATTAATGTAATAATATTTTTCGGGGATGATTCATAAATATATCAATAAATAATAAGCTCTTGCCTTAGTGCTATCTATACTTTCTATTTTCATATGACGTCACGTGGGTGTTATTAAAAAAGGTTCCAGCGCATTAGCAATTTACGTGACTTATAGGTAAGTAGAGTATATATAGTAAAAAAGGGATGCACAATTTGAATATGGAATAATTTAATTATAAAATGGGTATTTTTTTCATTGAAAAACAATGTTAACTTTTGCCGTTGACAATCACGCTTGTCTTGCTTTTTTTTGGATATCCATCTGGATTCATGGTTTGCCACCTCCAAAAATCGGTGCCTGCAAGGAAATACATAATAAAATTAAGTATATATTTTTGGTAATAAGTTACAATGTTTACAGAGATAACCTCCTAATTATATGTAGATAGATCCCATTCGAATGACCGAATTGGGATTTTTATTTTACAAAGTTATTTTAGGTGTTGTCACTATAAAAAAGGAATAGCAGTAATAGGCTAGAATACTTAATGGTGAACGTCCATGCATTAAACGTATTTTCTATAGCTTTAATATTTTAAATATATAAGTATAGCACTGCGTCCATTAATCGTACCAGTCGCACTTTACTACACCGTCTTGGACAACTTAGATGAAGTATATAATGCAGTGGCGTAACTACAGGGTGGCAAGTCGGCAAAATGCCACGGGCCCCCTGTCAGAGGACACCTTACCCCTGACATTTATTAGAAAAAAAAAATTTAATATCCAATAAATTTGCCACGGGCCTCAAACGGTATAGTTACGCCACTGATCTAATGCATGGAACTATAAGGCGTTGCTATTTGTACGTTTGTAAGTAGACGCAGAACTATACTAAATTTATATAAAGCTAAAGAAAATCCTTTGCGTGTCGTGCTTGCATTGTAGCCGGCTCGGGATAGTAGTTTCGTCACCATTATTTAGCCTCAATAATGCTCTTTGATATTTTGAAAGATTTTATTGACCTTATTATAAAATCCATAAGTCTGATTCTGTATTGAAATGTAACTCACAGAAATCAGGAACATGCATGACACTTACACATTTCTTCCACTGAATATCTGGTAGTCCATCCGAGCTCTTCCTTAGCCAACGTAGCGTCTGCCCACATCGCCGTGATGTCACCTAATCGCCTCTCCACATATTTCAGTGGTATCTTTGTGTTAGTTACTTTTTCAAATACATTCACTAACTCTTTGACAGAGACGCCTTTCCCGGTTCCCAAGTTGTAAACCTAAAAAGTAATATGTAAATGGTTTAATAGAGTTTGATTTACATATAACATCTATCATTAATTGTCTTATTATAAAACCAGGATTAATTGTAGAACCAGGTTTAATACAAATACTAACTTTAGTCCTCGTTTTAAAATAATACTAAATTAAGTTTTAGTATAGGCTATCCGCTCGGGTTCAAATTTAATTTCTAGTTACTTTAACTTCATGGTGGCAAATCTACTTTAGCTTCACAGCTTTCAACCCCAAGTTGTGTTTTTAAAGGCCCAACGGCCTAAAACGTATTGTTGTTCTCGCGCGTTGTTTCATACATTACAATGAAACGGATATATTTTGTCGCGTTATACGAATGTATTTCAAAACATACTAAATGTATACTAAACATACTAGTGCAATCACGAAACAGCGCCATGAAATTATACTATTTTAAATTGAAACTAAATCGACACTAGTCGTTCAACGTCCGTACTCATATTATTGATTAGGTGTGACATTTGATTATAATTAGCATTTTTTGAAAATTTGATAACTACGAAAGATCAAGGAAGAGACTAACCTTCAGCCTGATGTGATTATTGCTGAGTAAATTTAACGCTGCAACATGCCCACTGGCCAGATCCATGACGTGTATGTAATCTCTGACACCTGTGTGATAAAAAATATTATATTTACTTTCGCATGATTTTGACTGACGATCAACATTGAATAGCTCGACAGAGAATTTACTTAATTTAAAATATATGTTGTAAGGCCAGAAAAGTTTCCATAATGTTTTGTATCATAATTTTATTTTATAAATATCTTTAAAACCATGATTTTGAAAGAAGGAAGCTATAGAGAGTTTATGGAAGTGGTTACACGTTGGGCGCCAAACAGAAACTATGCACAGAGCCAAAACTGTAGTGTGTATTTTAATAAAAATAGCTCGTTAGACAAGCTTGACGAAACTATTTTAATTTACCCGTGCCATCAGGTGTGTTGTAGTCGCTGCCGAAAACAGTAAGCACGGGCTTCTTGCCGAGAGCTACTTGCGCCATAAATGGCATGAGGTTGGTGAACTCTTTGGTTGGATCCTCGCCGATCATACCCGATGGGTGTGCTCCTACCGGATTGAAGTATCGTAGGGATATGATGTTCCATTTCTGAGAATTTAAAGTAGAACGGCTTTACAGATTTTTACGTTTAAGACGAGGTTGTACAAAATTATCACTTTTTGAACCAATGTTATTCTAAGGATTTACCAAATAAAAATTATTTAAGAAAACTAACATATAATCGATTGTTTGTTAAAAGCAGAAGCATAAATTTAAATAATTGACTTGAAAAAAAAGAAAGTTTTTTTTGGATTGGTTTTACGAGTATATTTTTTCATTTTAACTAAATGAAAGAATTGGTTTTGATATATTCTTTTGATCATATATACAAAGAAAATATAAATGCATTTGCTTTTTTTCTGTGATTAAAAATGTATGAAATAATACGAGGGCGTTTTTACTCTCAATGCGTAGGGATTTCTATGGAAATGGTAAGCGGAGGTACAAGAGAGCCTTGTTTGTCATCCCAAAACAAACAAAATAAATATATATATATATATATAAATATTTTTTTAAGCATCTTAATTTTTCATTAAGATTATGACTAAATTAATTTGTATTCACTTACTTCATCAGCGGCGCTCAGGTCTTTGAGCATTTCTTCTATGAAATACTTGGTCCTGCCGTAAACGTTGGTGATCTTGCCGGTGGGGTGGGTTTCTGTGATAGGTAGGTACTCAGGTTCACCATACACTGTACACGATGATGAAAAGACCATCTGGTAGCAGTTGTGTGATCGCATTACCTGGAATGTGTCAATTTCATAAATACTTTTTGTTTTCTAAGATAACAGGATAGGCTAGTCATAATTATTTTGAACATTAGGGATCTACATCTCATACTGATCGATTAGATCTTAGTTCATTTGATTTTTAAATAGGTATATGCAGGTAGTAAATATTAGTTATTCCAATATAGTTCATTTGTTGCTTTCTTTTTAAGTTAATTTAGGATTACAAATAGACGAAATTTTGTTAGGTTTTTCAGTATTTTATACGTTCTCGAGCGTCTCGACTATTGTCAAAATGTCTTGCTAACGGGAAACTTTCAAAACCTTGACATGCGAGTGTTTTAAAGACTTCGTTTGACCGATTTAAGTGGTCATATATTTAAATTAAACAGAATCCGTAAAACCACTCCAAACGTCACTTCTTGGGTCGATTAAAAGATTTTGTTATGTCTTTAAAATTAATGTATTGAAACTTAAATTAACTATTAAAATTATTTAAATTTGCCTTTAAAATAGATTCAGCAACAGTGGAAGAGGAATTCAAAGATTGTGTAATTAAGACTGGAATTTCAGTAAATAAATTTTAAAATACTGTAGCAACTTCAAGATCTGTATAACTATACTATTTTTTTTTGGGACAAATATGTTATTGAATTCTGTTCAATAAATCAAATCAAAGATATCTTTGTAATAATCATTGGGATTATTTTTATGTTGATGACACAATTTACTATCTAATTGAAACGTTCCAAGCCACTCATACTTTTTGAAACAACTGTGATGTCTCTCCTAGCTACAAACGTGCATTTATGCGGAAAGTTATCATCATCACCAGCCCTCTCCGTCCCCACTGCAGGAGCTCAGGCGTTCCTTATGGATGATTAAGGAGGATGGGCCATGACCCTCCACGCTCCACGCCAAGTGCAGCCGGGACCAACGGCTTAACGTGCCTTCCGAAGCACGGAGTAGCTCGAGATAATAATTTTTGGTCACCCATTCCGTGACCGACCTTTGCGAAAGTTGCTTAACGACTATGATCGCGGGCCGCGGCGCTTATCCATTACGCCACCGAGCTACTGCGGAAAGTTATACCGTATCGTAAAAGAGATATCGTATGGACGCATCCGAGAAAAGTCACATTTGGGTGTAGATAAAACGTTCTCGAATTAATCATATTATCCGTGTTGGAGTTAATTGTGGTCACGTTGCCCACTGACAACACTTTCCGCATGATTCACATTCTAGGATTTACGTATTATTTCTGTTTCATTTGTCATATTCTCTATCACTAAATTTTTTTGTTATATTTCACTCAACTTACCTCTAACAAATTGAGCATTCCTAGAAGGTTGTTCTGGTAGTATAATAGAGGCTGCTGCATTGACTCCCCTACTGCTTTTAAGGCGGCAAAGTGTATCACGCAGTCTATCGAGTGCTGAAATAAATACATGTGTTCTTAATGTTTGAGGTAGTCGAATATGTTTTAATATTACTTATAGTATATCTAGCAGGTGTTCTCTATGTTTTTCACAAACAACAGTTATTTGGTCGACAACGACAGCTACTAATCTGCTAGTGCTGTAGTATAATCTCGAAAAATAATAAAGGCTCTCAAATTAAACTTAACAAAACCATCATTGCATAGTTTAGCAATCGGTTCTTTAATTGATGCGTATCTAGGCATATTTTCAAAACGACTATTCGGAAAAATTTTAAGTATTTCCAAGTTTGCTAACCCTGTCAAATATTTTCATGATTTGCGCTTTGTCAAGTACATCAGCTTTGTAGAAGGTGATGTTTTTTCCTGTGATAGTTTCCGCGCGGCGCAGAGCTGGCGATCCCTCTTCGTCACCGACGGCGTTTGCGAAATTGTCTATAGCTACAACTTCATGTCCAGCCTGTAAGTAATCAACAAAGAGTTTACTTCTTGCCTTTCTAGAATATATTTTGAAGCATTCGGTATTATATTTCGGCTAAACCGTTCAGGACGAAATGTTGCTTCAATCTGCTATACAATTCAGCAATACAACCTCGAACAAATGTTGAGCACAGGGTTGTTACATGAGCTTCAACAAAATAAAACCTTAATTTCCTTTATAAAGCACATAGGTTTTATTTCATATAACATCTGGGCAGAGCTGTGCTCGACGTAGTTCTGATAGAATAGCACTGTACTGATGAATCATACATTTTTATAGTATAATTGTTGGGACTCGACAAAGAAGTTATTAAACTTAGTGTATAACGTAGGATTAAGTAGTTACCTGTAAAAGATCCACCACGCAATGGCTACCGATGTAGCCTGCGCCTCCTGTCACTAATACTGTCTTCAGTTTTGGCATTTTGTCTTATATTTTAGTCTGAAAGGAGAACAATCTGCTATTATTTCCTGTTTTAGTAGTGATAATACGATGACCTTGCATAGCGTGCACTAAACGAGCTTCCTTTCAGAATTTGGCGGGGTTCCTTTGATATAAACCCTTGAAGTTTGGATCAAATGGTGTGCCTAGTAGATAGAATTATTGAGGTTTAATGATTTTTACTCGGGAAGTTAAGCATATGGCTCGGAGGTTACGTAGGGTGTATACGCTTATCCCAAGTAACATTAGGCGCTAACATAAGAGTTAGAACAGATCTACAAAAGAGCTAAACAGATCCGGTGGTGTTCAATAAGTGCTATCACATCGAGTTATAGGGAGTACTGTACTCCTGGATTGAGCACAAATTCTTATGACGTTAGGTTTCACTATGGTGATATAGTAGAGTTACAGAATGCATTTAAGAGATATAGCATAGTTATTGTGGAGGTTCATAAGCGCTGAGTCCTAAAGCGTTGTAAAAGAAGTATTTAAGTGTCTAGCGACTCTTAAAACGTTATAATCACAGAAATAAATCTAGTTAGAAGGAAAATGTTCGTCGATTTATATGGAGACCGAGCGTGCCACAATTTGTGTAGGTATCATGACGTCACGATCTTAATTTAGTGATGGAAGACATAATTTCACTTGCATCGAATACATGTTGTATTTGAAACGGCATACCGATTCTTATCGATTGAAAAACGATATCGATCGACGGACACCAAAGTGTACAGTCTGTCTATAAAGTCATGAAAAGAATGTTTGAGGAACTAACATTAGACACAAGTATCTGAATCAAAGTACATCGACTGTCAATAACTTGATTTTTTAGCTCGATTTTCTGCATTTTTGATATGTTTTGATTAAACTGAAGCTACTTCTTCTAAACTCCGTCGAAAAGTGTTAAAAATGAAGAGAATTAATCAGAGTGAAGCTCAGGATATTATTTATAAAGTTTTTCAGTGATGTTTATTGGAACAAGAAGCTGGACACATTTTATCATATTTGTAGGATGTTAAAGCTCGAACGGCAGTTATAGCTGGTATGTAATCGTGTTACTGATTGAGTTTTGGTTACCAGAAGTTTCAAATTTACTAAATATATGAATTTATGTCTAAAAGAAGTATTGATTACATTATGCATTTATAGGTTAGATTGAAAATGTTAGAAGGCTATATTGTAGTGCGGTCCGAACTTTCAATACTTTTGGATAATCAAATTTATCATTGATTTTAATCTGAATAAAAAATATACCTTTTAGGAATGTACGATTTTTACCTATGTAGGCCAATAAAAAGTTTGTGCTTTATATTACTAAAATTATAGCATTAATTTGATTATTGTGGCAATTCCATTCTTTTTGCCAAATACCTATAGGTATTACATTTTTAAAACTTACTTTCAGGAAAATCAGACATTATAGTGCTACGTATTGTAGATGAAGGTTATAAAAATGGTGGCATATTTGAAACCCCTGGGAAACATAGATAGTCGTCCTAAGAAATAAATGGTTAACTGCAACATTTGTGCACTTCAACAAAAGATTCAGTTCTTTTACTCAGTGAAAAAAAGAGGTACCTACATGAAGAAAACATCAGTGGATTGCCAAAACCGATCTGGATTTTAATTGTAGCCTAGAAGTTCTGCGTTAAATTCTGAAATATATTGGGTTTTCTTACAAGGAGTGTCAAATTAACAGGCTTTAATCGAACACAAGCACACATTGCAGTAAAACGTGAAAACAACTTATCAAAAATTACGAAAAAAGATTTATCAAAAATTACGATTACTATATTGTAATCTTCAATGTAGAATAAACTCATTGTCTACGAATTATACGCCTTTCTTTACCTTTTCTGGGGTAATAAAAGTAAAAAAAAAATCCTACTATCAAAATCATTTGTCTCACTACACAGGGTTGCTACGTGCACGATCGAAGCGCCCTCAATTTTTTTCATGAATTTATAGACAGTCTACCATTTTGCTTAAATATTATGTATATGTCTCGAACTCACGTATGTTATTTAGTGAATCGGCGCAAAAAAGATTTTATGCGATAGAATAGAAATCGGCATTTTTCTGTGGGCAAACACTTTGTAGTAGCCGCTACCCCCTCCCGACACGCTACACATTTTTACGTCCTGTGTTGTTATGTTATGTTTCACGGCGGGCTTTTCTGCAACTCGATACTCAGTTCCTATTTTCCAGACACGGGGTTGCTTTAGTCCTGCCACCCCAGCTCCTCCAGGAAGCCCGTAAGATCTCGAATTCTGCCGCATGTAAACTAGTATCCTTGGGCTTCATAGATATGTAGTCCTTTTGTCTTAATAGGCTCCTGCATTCCAGTATCACATGAGTGCACAAGCGCTTATGTGATACTGGAATGGAGACTGAGGAGACAATCTCCTCAGTCTCCATGCACGCCCTGCTCAGAGGACTGTCAGAATAACCCATGTTATATAGGTGTTTGTTAAAGTTTCCATATCCAGTAAGTATACCTACTATTTGCCTTAGAGTCCTGTTGCTTCAATCCATTTATTTTTAATATTAGGATCATACGGAAAACTAAAACAAAAATTACAGTATAATTCAATATAAAATTAATTATCCTTTCTTCTGCTTTCAAAAACAATATTTTTTTAATCGGGTAAAAAAATCGCATTGTACAGCACTATTCTCCATTTTTGGCCTCCAACAAATTGACCTTGAATTATACATCGATGGTTTTACAAGCACAGCAAATTTGGACTGTCAAATTAAAGCCGCAATGGAAAGCTATTACTAGACACATGACCGTTTTGATAAAAATAATACGGAGCAACAAAACTAATGATTTTTAATTCAAAATAGATATATCAAGGCAAATAGTTACTTACCGATGGAAGGAAATACCTCGTCTATAAGATCCAACCATATTGGTGGTGTTTGAGCAGGTAATTATCGAACAACGCATCATTTTAAATTTCGTCCAACACCGATTGCGATCGAAAGTGGACTGAGCCTCGCGGCGAGCAATGAAGCTGTCTAGACGTCGTTTCGGCACGCGAAGTACGTACACTTTTTCCTTCTAACTAGATATATTTCTGTGGTTATAATAGAGCTACAGGCTACCTTCAGACCTTTGAGTGCTACTAAGGAAGCAAATGTATGAATATTAACTCCGTAAGGTTTATAGTAGATCTAAGATGCATCTTACTAACTCTTTAAGTGGTTATAGGGTGGCAATATGGTAAATTGTAACACCTTGAGTTGCAGTACAGATCTACAATAGGAAATTTTAACGTTTAAAGATATAGTTTTTTACTTTATGACTGCTTAACATTATGTTTTGCCTTAATGTTAAATTGTGACTACACCTAGTCTCCATACTGATGGTCTTTACGAAAAAAAATTGCGGAGTTAAATGGTGAAATCTTAACTTGTTAATGGAAAACTGAAGCGGAATTTTCATTGCGAAAGTAACTTTACTGTGAATGTGGCTATATATTACGAGGGTCAAACTGAAAGTTCTTAGAACTGGCCACTTATAAACAATATAATAAAAAAATAATTCTAAAATTTGAAAATATAACTCTTTGCCAATATTACTGAGTATATATTTCATTCATTTGTCATTTGTTTTACGATTTGGCGGCAAATTGAAAATTGTCTGTGTCACGTCATCATGAATTTAACACGAGAAAATTTTCGTGCAATGATTTTTTATGACTTTCGATGTCATTTAAGTCAACAAGAAAGTTATGATAGACTACGATTGGCCTTTCACGATGAAGCCCCATCTCGTGCGACTGTTTACAACTGGTTTAATGAGTTTAAACGTGGTCGCACTAATCTCACTGATGATTTACGTGAGGGACGGCCTTCTACGGCGACGACTGAAGATAACATCTGTGTTGTGCGGCGTATGATAGAGACTGACAAAAGAGTGACCTATCAACAGATTCGGACAAGCTTAGGCATCGGTATGAGTCAAGTGCACAAAATCCTCCACGAACATTTAGCGGTCAGGAAGCTTTGCGCCCGGTGGATACCTCATAATTTGACTGAGGCTCAAAAACTCCATCGTGTGGATTGGTGTCGTAAAATGATTGAAAGATTTAACGGAGGTGACTCAAATGCTGTGTTCGACATACTAACAGGTGACGAAAGCTGGATTTACTGTTATGATCCTAAAACCAAAAGACAATCTGCTCAGTGGGTGTTTCCTTTCGAGGAGTTGCCAACTAAAGTGAAAAGAGATCGAAGTGCGGGAAAAAAAATGGTGGCCTCGTTCTTTGGAAGGATAGGTCATTTTGCAACAATTGTGTTAGAGGATCAAAAAACAGTTTCTGCAGAATGGTACACTACCAATTGTTTGCCACTTGTCTTGGAAAAAGTTCGAGAGAAACGACCTCGCAGTAGGATCCTCCTTCACCACGACAACGCCTCGTCGCACACCGCCAAGCGAACGATCGACTATTTGGCGACATCAAACGTTGAATTACTGGGTCACCCGCCGTATAGCCCCGACCTCGCGCCTTGTGATTTTTATTTATTTCCAAAAATTAAAGAAAAACTTAAAGGAAAGCGGTTTATGAATGCTGAAGAAGCGGTGGCTGCGTATCGCGATGCCATTGAAGAGACCCCTAAGGACGAGTGGGCAAAGTGCTTTTCCCAGTGGTTCCATCGCATGCAGCGGTGTATTGACGTGAATGGACAATATTTTGAAAAGATATAATAAAACTAATAACTGGCTAATGTAATCAGTTTTTGATTTTCTAAGAACTTTCAGTTTGACCCTCGTATAAGCAAATAATTAAAGGGCCCACTCTAAGTTGTGTATTTATGTAAAAAAATGTTTCACTTTAAGTAAAGCAAAACTTTTTTTAAATAAAAATGTTTTAAAACTTTGCCTATTGATTTAAAAATGTCATGAACCTGTTATCAAAACGCTAGAAAGAGAAATAACTTCATTGTCATAAGTTTTTCAACTTTTAAAGTACTTTTTAGTC